GGTCCGGATGCCGAGCAGCCCTCTCCGGTGTGTGTCGGTTCGCCTCCTCTCTCAGTGCTCGGGCTCAGCGGACGGATCAAGATGTCGGACCCCTGCTCCTTCTCCTCCTTCTCCTCCTGCCTCACCAAACACCTCAACCTGCTGCTGCACGTGGACTTCGACAGGCACGTGATCAGAGGGAAGGTGCAGCTGACCGTGGAGGCTCTGGAGGACCGCTTCTCTGTTCTGGTAACACTCATTGCTCCGGTACCGACCCGGTTTCAGAGCTCTGAGAGCTCCGATCAGGCAGTTTCAGAGATGCAGGTTAAATCTGAGAGAAATTGCATAAAGTCTGGTCTGCTGGCTGCTTTGAAACATGGAGGTTAGGAGGATGAAGTTGGACTTCTGTCCGGTTCTGGTTCTGCCGCTGAACCAGTCCAGGTCCAGCTCAGGTGGTAAAGTTTCTAAACCAGCAAACCTTCCTCTATAATTCGGCTCATATCAGGTCACACTTTGATCAAACATTTACACACATTAAGGAATAAAATCAGAGCAGAGTTCTACCTGGTCATCCAGGTGGATTTTGGACTTTGTTCTGCAGGCTGAGCTCAGAGATCCTCCTCCTCTGCTTCCAGATCAATCAGCATCTTTCACTTCTTAAGCTGCACATTTTAAAACGATCACTTTCTCTGCACTGCAACGTAAACGAGCAGAAAGTTTTAAATACTTTATAGGTGAATCATTCACCCTCCCTGTTCTCACTGTGAGAGCTCCCTCAGTGTGACGTCATTAGGAAAGGTGTTTTCACCTGAGCTCATCTTATCACCCCTCAGATGTTCGCTGATGGACTCGGAGTGAAATCTGAGTCTCAGTGTTTCATCTTTCCGCCTGTTCTGAGGCTCAGATCCATTTCTGCATACTTTGAAGTAATCTGAAGCTGCAGGGAGACAGTTTTTTATCTGGTTGGACTGGTTCTCACACCGTTTATCAGCGGGCGCGGCCGTTATCTTGTTAAGGCTCGTTAATTAAACCCAGTTCTGTTTTTTGTTGCAGACTTTGGACACCAGAGACCTGAGCGTCTCCTCGGTGACTGTCAACCAGCAGCCGGCCGGCTTCACTCTGGGCTCCAAGCACAGCTTCAAGGGGACCCCGCTGGAAATCACCCTGCCCTCGCACCTCTCCAGGTCACCTCATGTACAGTTTGAGACTTAGACAAACTTTATTTTCATTCCTTCAAAAGTCCTGAAATGCATTGAATTCTTCAGTTTAAAAACAAGGCCTTATTTGGTATTAAAACATCTTAAATCAAGCTTTCATAGGGCTTAAAATCATAAATAGGATTTTATTTTTATTATTCATATCAAAAATGTAAATAATTCACAATTATTTTTTGACATTTACTGAATGGCTTAGCTGTAACCATTATTAGTTCCATCCTTGGGGTCAAAAGTGTAACTTTGTGATGAAGGTTGGTGGAGACGCTCTAAGGTTGGAGGCTGATGGACCTACAGCTATTTTCCAAAAATGAGCTTAAACATATATTAACTGAATGCTTTCCTATTGGTGAGAACACAAGAGCACCGTAATACACTGATATTTATAGTTATAGAGAGATGCCTGCCTTTAGTGCATTATTTATAAAGGGCTCAAAAACATTACCATATAAAAAAATGACGAAAAACAGCCGATATCGATGCCAACGTTAATATATCCTCCTTCACAAGCAGAAAAATTTAATTTTAAAATTTGTCCCATATGCCATTGAAAGCCAAAGTCTATATATTGAACCTTATATTTCAAAAATCATTTATGCACTGATTTTTATTATTTGTGCTTTAATTCTTGCAGGTTTCTTATATTTTAATTTTTTAGTCTGTATCCAGTGAGTCTGGCTCTTTCTGAGTCTTGCTGAACTACAAAAGATAAAAAGATATGTTGAATTTTATTATAGAATAGCGTATTTGTTCTTGTAAACTTGGGGATATATTTTATTGCATGTTGCATATCCTAGTAAATCAGTTTCACCTTTAAATCAGCAGCTGTCCCTAATTGAATCTCTGCTTAAAATCAGATTTAGGAACCTGTGTACCAATATAATAATGCCTGAGAAAATCCTTTTCAGGATCTCTAGAAGCTCTGCAGCCTGATTCTCTGTTCAATAAGAAAACAACAGATTTTAATCTGTAACTCTGAGTAAGCCCAGCTTTATAACTTATATAAATCTATACTCTGTTGCTATTTTTAGCAGAAAAAGCTCCATATGTGTAACAAACAGATTTTTCGGTGGCATCTCTAAATTTTTTAACCAAACCTTCTCCTAAATTTTACTTAAAGGTACACTATGCAACCGGTGTTGATTTTCCAGTGAGGCTCCCTCCAGAGGGCGAAAGTAAAAGTGCACTGTCGTAAAAATGCACGGTTGTTTTGAGCTTAGCAGCGAATGACTAACACTGCGTTCACACTGGACGTAGCTGGCGCGACAGAAGCAGCGAGTTTACATGCAAAGTCAATGGTTGACGCGCGTCAAGGCGCAGCAAAAGGTCCCGTGGCGTGTTTTGAGCA